GGTTTTAAAATCTGTCATAAATATTCATTTGTATCTGCAATTATGTTTCTTCATTCCTGCTATTTGTGCTTTGTTTTTTTCTTCATCACATTTGCCAAACATGCACCTCTTACTAGTCTTCGTAATGACCACTTTCTGACTTGTTAACCAACTCCATTTTTTTTGTTTCACTAAGATTTTCCTCATTATTCCTTTGCTTATACTATCTTTGTGTTAGCTTAATTAATCTTGATAAAGTTTTCTGGGTTGAAAACGCATTTCACTTATATTTATTTTTAATCGTTCTTTTCTAATAAATGCATTTAAGTCTTCACTCCTCACATTCTAACAGCTGCTTTTACTTAAGTCCAAAATTAATACAATTCACTTCCCATCTAGACGCTGAATGTATCAAACCATTTTCTTTGTTAACTTCCACCATTTGGTGATCTATTCATGAAGACAGAACTTCATGATCTAGTTTTTTAAAACACATAAAATAAATGCCTACACATTTTCTAAGCATTAAACCTTAAGCTTAATGAAACCAAGGGAATTTATTTAGGAATAACTCAAAAATTAATGAAAGAGGAAAACCAACTTAAAATGCTGTATGTGGAGAAAGCATATGGAAGAAAAATGTGCACATATACCTTCCAAAGAATTGACGCAAAATTTCAGAGGGTTCACCAGTTAACCCCTCTATGGGGAAGGGTCAAACGACAGCCTGAGAATCAGGTTTTGTGAGGAAGAGAAGAGACAGTCTACTCTCTGTGTTTATGTTTAGGGTTGATCAAAGGCTCTTCTCCAACTGCAACCCAGAGACATTGTTGTCCTGGGAGGTAAGGTTACTGCTGTAAAATCTGTCATATGTGTGTGTAGTGGCGAGAAATGAAGAACACTACAATGTTATTTCAAAAGAGTTAAATGAGCTGGGCACGGTGGCACACACCTATAGTCTCCACTATTCAGGAGGCTGAGGTGGGAGGACTGCCTGAGCTCAGGAGTTTGAGTCCAGCCTGAGCAACATAGTGGGACCCTGTCTCTAAAAAATAAAATAAAAGGAGTTAAAAATAATGTCTTTTGCAGCATCTTGAATGGAACTGGATGCCATTATTCTAAGTGATATAACTCAGGAAAAAACAAATACTTCATGTTCTCGAAAGTGGGAGCTAAGCTGTGGGTATGCATGGTCACACAGAGTGGTATAATGGGCACTGGAGACTCAGAAGGAGGGAGGATGGGAGGGGGGTGAGGGGTGAAAAATTACCTACTGGTACAACATACACCATTCGGGTGATGGGTTCACTAAAAGCTTAGACTTCACCACTATACAATATATCTATGTAACAAAATTCCACTTGTTCCCCTTAAATCCATTGAGATAAAAATGAGTTAAATGAACTGACATATAAAGCAATAAAACATGAGTAGTGTTCCCTGTGAATATTAATAGAAAGAATGAATGGCAATACTCTTCATAGGCTATTTATTCAAATTGATGGAGGACTTACAGAGTATAAAGTCCATAAATCTCTAGCGTGTGTCTTGAACTTTTATATATGTGCGCATGCAATCACCACCCAGGTAATTCCCAGGGCATAAGAAGGTTCCTTTGGGCATTCTCCCACTTAATACACCCCTCCTAAAGGTAATATTACATCTGTGAGCTTTGTCCACATTGTAGTTTGTTAACTGTAGTTGGTTTATTTTTTTTTTTTTAGTATATTAGTCTATAAAGACATTG